CAAATCCTCTCCTTTGGAAAACAGTGATGAACTAAAGGGTGAAACCCAACTGGAACCCATAAACACCCCTATCCCCCTCCTGCAGCTCGGGGAGCTTTTCCTTCTCCCCTAGTTGGCTCTTCTGTAAATAAAAATGAGCTTTATTGATTGTATTCCAGTAACAGAGAATTGCCTTTGGCCTGAGCTCTCAGGGTGCTAAACTCCAGCCAGGAACATGGTTTGGCGTTTCCCCCCTCCTTCTATAGCGTTTCTGATCTGTTTTTACGATGCCGGCTCTGACACATCCTAAACTACAGCGTGGCTTTAACCCGGCGGGGTTGAAATAGCGGCTGGCAAATGTTCCCTCCTTGCTGGAGCTTGTGAATCAAAACCCCATCAACAGTTGAAGCAAAAGCTTGTGCCGGGGAGGAGAACTTCTGCTGGAGTCGGTGCATATTTTATCACCGCGCTCATTCACACACAGCCCTTCTCCCTTCGAACGCCACCCGGGTTTTAATTAAAGAGTCCTTGGCGAGGCTGTTGTTCTGGCTTGGAAGGCCTCCAAATGGCCGTGTTTCTCCCCAAAATGATCACAGGGGAAAGTGCTCCCCCCCTCCCCATCCCCGCCAAGGTTTGTCTTCTGCAAATACTGCTAATTACATTTGTCTGGCCAGATGCCGGCTCTGCGATAGCATCTTTCATTAGCACTGACCTCTCCGTGCTCACAAGGAGCTGGCTGACATTCCCAGAGTGTTGCCTCGTGGATGTTGCCAGGAAATGTCCCTTTGGCACCGGGCAAGCACGGATGGGGCTTGGAAGTGATGGGGTTGTGTTGAACCCTGGCGCATTAGCATCTGCTTGTAGGTTCTGCAGCTTGGGTGCAGCTCCCTGTTTACACAACTGGTTGTGAACCAGAGCGGAGAGAGGCTGAGCTTGGTGCCTCCAGGATCTGCTCTACCAAAGGGTTGCTGATGGTCAGCTTGGTTGGGGTTGGTGCCTCCAGGATCTGCTCTACCAAAGGGTTGCTGGTGGCCATAGATAGGTGGTCAGCTGGGATTAGGTGCAGGAGGGGTGAAGAAATGCATGGGAGAGGACAAGACACCTCTCCTTGGCTTTAAACCTCTCATGGAGGCTCTCCTGATGGCACCACAGCCCATAGCAGTGCAGATATTGCTGTAGGCAACTCTCCAGAGGGTCTAAGAGAAACCATGGCCAGGGGCTGAGCGATGCTACCTCCCTTCCTGGCACCTAGAGATGCTCTGATGGGTCTTTCCCTTCCCCCTGGCTTGAAATTCCTCCTTGGCTCCTCAACCACCGCTATGAGTTTGCTCCCGTTTGTCAGGAACAAGAGACTTAATTTGTCAGTTCACTACGTTTAATATTTCTTTCATGTATCACGTTGGCTTTAAATGCAAAACATGTCTGGATAAGCTCGCTTTTTCTGCTTGGTTTTTTCCTTTCCCACCCTGCTGTAGCCGATACATTGGAGGAAACCGTGTTGAACTAATAAAAAAAGAGTTTAAAATGCTGCTTTTGCACTTCTTTAATTGACTTCCAATTTCCATTCACGTCCAGCCCGGCACGTTGCAAAGAGGAAAAAAGAGCACTGAGAAATAAGAACTGCGTCACTCCCCGGTTTCTTCTCATCATCAAAAATGTCAAAATGAAGACTCAGAATCAATGTACATTAAACTATGTAATTGCCTAAATAAACGTGGCAGGGGGAGATAATGGGTCTTCCTGATTAGAAGAACTTAGTGCAAAGGTTCTATTTGGCTGCCAAGCAGCACGGTTTAGTGGTTGCACCCTTCTTCCTGGAGATAAAGCAGAGTGGGGGCTCAGAAGGCAGCGATGGGTGCAGGCGCTGGTGATGAAGGAGCTCTCTGCTGGAGAGAGCATCCTTGAGGGAGTTATAGGAATGGAAGAACTGCTAGTGGATGGTGGAAATGGGTTTTCCCGGCTCTCATGAGCCTGGTGGTTGTTGTGTTCTCTTCCAGCATCCAATCCTGGTGGTCTCCGAGCCAGTGAGGGTCCTGGCTTTCAGTGACTGGCCTTGCAGCAAGGGAAGAGGCTCCCAAGAGCAGGAGCTCAACCCCCAGCCTGGTTGAGCTTATTGCAATCTCTAAGTGTTCATTAATTGAACTTGCTTGGGGTGGGTTGTAGCTCCAAGGGACATGTGTTGAAGCTTTATTAGGATACACCACATGCTTCCCAACCCTTTTCCCTGTAAATCCTGGCAGCTTTGCCAACCCAATCAGTGTAAATAAATAATATCCCAACCGAAGCTACTCGATGGTCTTATGGTTCTCCTGAGAGCTGCAAGCCCGTTGTTTAAAGCTGCTGCCCATCAGAAACACAGAGCTGAGGGTCTGACAGAGCATCTGGCAGTGGTGGCAGGAGTTGGCTGGTGACACCAGGCTGGTATTTGGGAGCAAAAAAACAGTCATCCGGGTCTGAGTATCAGTTTGCATTTGTCCTTTCCCCTTTGCTTTCCCTCAACCACAGCCAAAAGTCATTTCACCATCAGTCACGGGATCCCTGCATGCTTCTGCTCCAAACCTGGTCATCCTTCCCTGCAGAACAAGCAGTGCCCCAGCACGGGATGTCCCCAGTGCTTTTAATCTGTTAAATGCCTCTCCAGGTGAATCATGGTAATATCGGAGAGTGCAGGAGCAGGGGGAGAGCTGCCCATGGTCCATTGTTGCTCATTGCTCACTGTCACACTGGGGAATGAAGAAAAGCTGCTGGGTTTTGAGGCTGCAGCCTGGCAGTAAGGAGTTAAAGGAGAGGTGAAATATTAAGTGGAAGCAAAGAGGCATGGCGGGAAGGGCAGGATCCCAGGAAAGCTCTTCTGGGGAGGGAGAAAAGAGCTGTCACCTGGAAGGGCTCCAGCTGCCCAGCTCCTGTCCAGCCAATGTGTCCTCTGCTCCCCAGGGGGGCAGGGATGATGAAAGGCATGAAGCCGGGATGCTGATGGGGACAAGAGGCTTTTGCAGGTTGCAAAGGGACTGGGCTGCTCTGGGGCAGCAGCCACGACTTGGGTTTTGCTGGGGGAGAAGTAGAAATGTGTTGGAGTATGTGTGAACCCATCTTGTTGAGCTTGCTGCTCTGAGTGCTGGCTATGGAGGTGGCTAAGTAACAAGGAGTTAATAATGAGGAGGTTTTTGACTCACGATGTTTACCATCCCAAACATCCCAATATAGGGAGATGCTGGGATACAGGAGGCTGCATCCCTGGGACATCTCTGGTGGGGTTGTCTCCCTGGGGTAGGAAGAGGTGGCTGCAGGGTGGGTGAAAGAGGCTGAACCACAGCAGCTTGTAGCATCACCCACCCTCCACCAGGCGAAGCAACATGCTACAGCTACTGAGCAAACCTCAGAAGCAGGGTTCAATAACACAGCCCCCCAAGCTTTCCTGACATGGGTCATGCCACTGACCTCCACAGGAAGCCCTGAAGGCAGAAACACAAGGCCTGCATGCAGTGATGAGACAAGTAATACTTTTGGGAGCACTGTAAGAGAACATTAACCTAAGCTCTCCTAAATCACTATGAGCAGCAGGGTGTAAATGGTGATACCATGGGCTGCTCCAGCACCATCTCTTATCTCCAGGCGCTTCAAGCGCATCCATGACTTCATGTTCCTGACCCACTGCCACCAGGGAAGCAGGTTCAGGAGGGTTTTATCCATCTGGGAGCTGGTTTTATCTGTCTGGGGCTGAAAGATGATGGATGACAAACCTTTTGAGGGGAAGAAAATGCAATTACCCGAAGTAAGCTTTTGGCAGGACATGGAGACAGCGGAGCGGCGTTGGTGAAACGAAGGGAAAAGAGGATAAAAGACCAGCTGCTCACATCCAGGGCCCTGCTTTACTTTTGGTTGCCTCCTCAGAGATGTTGTTCATGCAGTAATTAGCGATGTAAAACATGCATCAGCCTCTTTGTTCCCATTAGGCTTGGCTACGGTTTGAAGTGATGCACAACAGTAGTGTGGTTAATTTTACCCAATGTTCAGTTTAATTTCATTTAAGACCAGCTGTCTATAAATCTATAGTGTCTATTTACATCACGTACATATAAATATATATAGAACCCTGTGCTGAGGAGAAGGTAAATCTATGCCTGGAGAAGAGAAGCTGCATGGAGACCTCAGAGCAGCTTCCAGTGTCTGAAGGGGGCTACAAGGTTGCTGGAGAGGGACCTTCATCAGGGACTGGAGTGATAGGACAAGGGGTGATGGGGTCAAACTGAAACAGGGGAAGTTCAGGTTGGATAAGGCAGAAGCTCTTCCCTGTGAGGGTGCTGAGGCGCTGGCACAGGGTGCCCAGAGAAGCTGTGGCTGTCCCATCCCTGGCAGTGTTCGAGGCCAGGTTGGACACAGGGGCTTGGAGCAACCTGCTCTAGTGGAAGGTGTCCCTGCCCATGGCAGGGGTTGGAACTGGATGATCTTAATCTCCTTTCCAACCCAGACCATCCTATGATTCTATGTAACAGATAACAAGGAACTGGTAGGAGCAGTGAATCCCAGACTCCAGCCCTGGGGTGATGTGTATGGTCAAGCCTAAAAGCTCAGTGGTGGCTTGATGCTGATGGGGTGGTATCTCCTTAGTGATCAAACCTCCCTGCTGTGTTCCTCCACCATAAAATCCCCCGTGTGTTGTGTGTCCAGGTCAGTATTAATCACCCAGGCAGTGCACAGCTGGAAGCCTGCAGCACATTGTGGTTTATTTGCATCTGAGCAAGCACACCTATGTGTAAATACCTCTAAGCAAACAAGTCCACCCAGCTCCGGCTTTGTTCCTCCTTGTGTCTTCAAGGCTGGGTTTACTGTTAGTATCCAAGGGCAGTTTGTCTCGTTGCTTACAGGGCCTCAAGGATGCCTGCTTGGTGGTATGTATGGGTAGCATTGCCCTGGTTCCATCTTGGTCCCATGCTATGTGGTCCAATGTGGGCTGGTGGCTTCTTCTAGCAGCTTCCACCATCATGTCATGCCTGAGCTACCACCACTGCTGCATGGATCCTTCAAACCTGTGTTTGTGGCATCCCTCCTTCTGGCAATACCAGGACAGTTGGGAGGAGGCTGCCATGGGGTGACGGGAAGGGCTGCAGCTCCTTGGTCCCAAAGCGTGGTGAGATGTGGTCAGCCAAGAAGCGTATGTGGAAGTGCCGGCCAACACAGTGGACCAAGCTGCCCAGCACAGCACACTGGAAGCCACCTGGGTTGGCCATGGTGTAGGTGGCACATTCATACCATAGCTTGGCCTTGGCGCTGCAGCGGTAGACACCAATGCCCGTGCGGCGGTGGAGGTCAAAGCGGTAGATGAAGCCGTTGGTGCTCACCATCTCGGCTGTCCTGTTCTTGCCACCGCTGGCCAGGCTGACCCTCCAGGTGTCCGAGCGGGCAGCGTATCGCAGCAGCACATAGCGCAAGGTGCCTCCTGTCACATAGATCTCCCCATCACACACTGTGGCCGTGTGGGCCACAGCAAAGGTGTCACGGGGCAGGGGTGCAGTGAAGGTCCAGCGGTCCTGCCGGGGGTCATAGCGCTCTACTGTGTAGAGACATTCACCACCAATGGCATAGAGGTGGCCATCCAAGGCCACGAGCTTGCAGTGGGGCCGTGCTTGGTTCAAGGGGCAGATCTCCCTCCAGATGTTGGTCAGGGGGTCATAGCAGAAGACATGGTTGGAAGGTCTCTGCATCCGGCCCATGCCCTTGCAGCCAGCCACCACGAAGAGGTAGTTGAACATGCTGCACATAGCACACCCCTGGGAGACCACCTCTGGTGGCATGTGGCAGAGGTGGTGCCAGCAGTCTCCTCCTTCATCATAGCTGCAGAGGCGGCTGGAGTGGAGGCCAGGCTCCTGCAGGTTGACGTCTGCCACGACCATGCGCATCTTGCCCTTCATTCTCCACCGCAGGATGAGGTCCCGCTCGCCGGCATTGAGACGGCCATAGATGGACGGTGTCCTCAGCACCTGCAGGTAGTTGTCACTCATCACCTTGTAGGCAGCTTCCTGGAGGTGGTGGAGCTTTTGAGCCTTGGCTGTGCAGAGGACCTCGTAGCAGTTCCCCAGGTCCAGGTGGGTGGATGGTGGCATTTGGTCAGCACCGGCCACCAGCCCTGGCCAGGGGCTTGCAGATGGTGTGTCAGCTGGTGCTGTGACCCCAAACCCCTCCATGGGCAGGTGGAGGTGGGGGCTCTCAGCAATGTGGAGGACGCTGCTCTTGCGGCCAGGAGATGGTGGTTCAGGAGAAGGTTCCAAGCTCCCCGTAGATGCTGGAACTGTGGAAGAGGTGATGGGATCCTGCATTGCCAAAGTTGGGTCTGGCTCCTGGGTTGCAAAGTTCTGCATCTCTTCATTGACCTGCTCTGAGCTGTGGCACTGGGATGTTCCCAGAGGGATGTAGGGAAGAGACCTCTTCTTTGACACCGACTGGGAGATGGACTGGGCATAGTAGTCATAGACTTTGCCTTTTAGGCCAGGGCCTGGCTGCCCAGCCCCGTCGTTCACCAGCTGCTTGGTGATGTACCCCTCCTCCACCTGAATCTTTGCAACCGAGGAGAAGGAGTAGGAGGTGTCTGACTCTATGCTGCTCGTTGTCATCATTAGTGCCAGGTCTGAGGTGACACTGAGGGTCTGGATCATCCCCCCGTGCTCTTCAATCTCCTGGCTCATGCCTCTGCCAGCCAAATCCTGCTCCATGCTTTGGACAAGGCTGTCATCATCATTAGCAGTCCTGGGAGAGAGCCCGGTGCTGGGAGCAAGTGTTCCCTTCTCCCCAGAGCTGCTCAGTGTTTTGGCTGCATCCCCAGGCTCGTAAGAGTTCAGCTCACTTCCCAACTCACTTTCCAGCTCACTTCCCGGCTCACTTCCCGGCTCACTTCCCAGAGTTCTTGCCGGCTTGCTTCCCAGATCACTTCCTGACTCACTTCCCGGCTCTCTTCCCACCTCACTTCCCAGTTTGTTTCCTGCCTCACTTCCTGATTTGCTTGCCAGCTCACTTCCCAGCTCACTTCCAGGCTCAATTCCTGTCGCACCTCTCAGCTCGCTTCCCAGCTCACTTCCCCTCCTGCCCATCCCCGCTTTCCTGGCAGTCAGCCCTGGTTCAGAAACTATCTCCCCCTCCTCACCCCTCAGCAGACTCCAATCCCGCTGGGAAGGCGTGCGCCGTGTCCCAGTGCCACTCACTTGTGCGTTCCCACCACCCATCCTCCCCTCCTCACCAAACACCCTCCTCCACCGCAGACCCACTGCACCGTCCCCATCCCCATCCCCATCCCGATCCCGGGCAGCATTTTCCCTCTGCTCTTCCTTGGCCCGTGGGATTTGACCCCCAGCAAGCAAACGAGACCTATAGAACCTGTACGCCAGCGTCAGGAGGAGCAGAGCGGAGAGGACCAGCTTGCCGGCCAGTGGCATGTCGGAATGCCAGGACAGGGTTACCCGCTGGGGCATTTTTCCATGCCAGGAATGCAGAGAAGCCGATTAATGATTGTTGAGCGAGCCCAAAGCGTGGAGCTGAAGGTTTGGGGCAAGGTGACTTTGAGCGGACAAAGCTGGCAGGAGGCTTCTGGACAAGCTTTGCATGTTTGGGCTGGGCTGGGCTCCGGGGAGAAGGTGCAGCCTGGAGCTGGCAGCACAGAGCCGCCTTTATTAGCCTGGTAAACAGAGAGGCACAGACGGAAGCAAAGGGAAGCACAAAGGGAGGAAACATATCTCCTGTGAGCAGCCCGATGGTGCTGCCTCCTCAGTTCTTTGGCTATTTAGAAGCAAACATGCAATGAAAGGAGAAAATAAGTCGTTTTGTCCGGGAAAGGTTCCTCATCCTTGAGTGCAGGTGTAGGAAAGGGAGGGAGCAGCAGCCCGGTGCTGGGTAGACCTTTGGTCTGACACCCAGCAGCTGCGGGTGACTAATTCAGTAGCCTTCGTTTGCGGTGCGTTAGCTAATGAAGGGTGACAGGAAATAGCCTGAAAGCTTCTGGGGTCTCTTTGAGGCCAGCGTGAAAGTGGCAGGAGAATTAAGAGCTTCTAGAAAAGGACCTGGAGGTTTTCGGGGGGGGGGGACCATCACCAAAGAGGAAATCAAAGCAGGAGTTAAACTGCAGCTGGTAGCTGCCACATTGAGAGACCTGCATCAGTGTGCCCAAGGAGAGGGGTGAACTAAGGAAAGTACATGAAAACACTGGGACCAGGAAGAAATGTGGGATGGGAGGGATGGGAGTTGTCATTTTGAAGTGATGTGCTGCGGTGTGGGGGGTTGTCCATAGGGATTGGAGTCACTGTGGGGAAACTGAGGCACAGAGCATGCCAGACAGTGTCACATTTGCTTCTTTCTCCCCCTGGAAAGATGTCAGGGATGTGTCTGGTCCTGTTCCGAATTTCAAATATGCAGGGGAATTGTTGTCCCCATCATGCCTGAGGCAGCCAAGTCCCAGTGCTTGGATTGTGGCAGGGGAAGGAGAGAGGAGGGGGCCTTGGGAATGGCATCCTGCTGTAACTGCTGCTAAGCGAGCTGAATTCAAAGGGATAAAATGAATTTCCTTTTCCCTGAGGGGAATGTCTTACATGCTGAGAGATGCAGAAAGCAATGAGGCCCTACGAGGCCCAAATGTAGCTGGGGGTGGGCAGCTGCTGCTGTTTGTATGCTGGGACTCGCTAGCTTGGTCCTAATCCAGTGGGATTTGCTGGAGAAATGAATCCAGGTGATGCTAAACCAACTCGTTATATGAGGTGTAGGTGTCGTGGGTCCCTACTGCATGGGTCATGGGTATATGCAGTAGGAGGTCTTGCCATGGGTCTTTAGTAAGGGGTGGATGCTCATCAGCTCCTACCTGGTGTCCACAGCCTCCCAGGCCACCCCCTGGGCAGCAGCTCATCTTCACCAGCCATTGCATGAGGCGGGGGTACTGCCTTTTGCGATGGGGGCAGCATCTGAACCTCCTTGCGGCATATTCCCCACCATTCCCAGCATCTGCAAGGGCTGAGGTGCTGAATTTTACCTTATGGATTTGCACAGGGTGCCAAAGGGATTGGGGTTGTTGTGTATCTACTGCTAGACTTGCTGGGGATGCTCGTTAGGTGGAGGATCATGTACCATGTGCTAAATACTGCGATATTTATATATATGTATATAAAAAGGCTGGAAAGGGAGCAGAGGGGTAACTTCTCATGCTGGCTCGACAGTCAGGGACCCCTGTGCTCATCCCTGCTGTGAATAGTGAGAGCCCACCAGTGGCTTTTAGGGGGATTTTGGGGAAGTTCCACCTTGTATGGGTGCAGTGGGGGGAAATGCAGCACATAAGAGGTTGGGGTGTGAGGATATTTAGGTTAAAAGCTGGACTTTGGAACAGGGCATGCGCTGATGGGAGGAATGCTTCGGATGAGTTTGCTCCAGGGGCCAAAGCAACACCAGCCAAAACCCACTTACCTGCTTCCCTCCATCCTATTTGGGACGGGGACCCAAAATCTATCACTGGTGTACTCGGCTTGGCCAGAACCTCAGGGAAAGTGGTATCCTATCATCCTGTAAGCCCAGAGGGGCCTGAATCCAGGCTGGAGCTGAGGTAACCAGGATGTGCATCATGGCTGGGCACGTGTTTGGGGCTCAGCTAATTGGTGAAAGGTCTGGGCACACGAGTGGGGCTGTGGCCTCTGGGTTTCTTCATCTCTCATTGCTGCAGGTGCTTGCTTTAACCTGCAGGTAGATCTGCAGAGATCCCTGCATTCCTAAACTGTGAAGGATGAATTATGCATGTACTTGGTGGCCCCGCAAACCCGGCCATAGCAGTACCTGTGCCCAGTAATGAGGTAGGGGAGGCAGGGAAAGCACTGAACAAAGCCCACTGCTGTTCCCAGAAGTATTCCCAGCCCCACTGAGTTGGAGCATCCCTGATTTTATGCCCCCCCCCCCAATATCCCAAAGGCCTGGGGGCTTGGATGAGCCACATCCTTGAGAGATGCAGGGCTGGGTTGCCAAAACCCCAAGTCTGGGTGCATGCCAGGGTTATCCGTGTCATTTTATGGACCTTGGGAGGGTGACACATGGAGCACAGGGAGACATGAGGGTGTTCCCAGCAGGCAGCATGCTCTACTTGCTGTTGCCTTCACAAATGGCAGGATGGGGGGACCAGAGCCTGACTGCTGAGCTTGAGCTGTGGGGGTTGATGTCAGGAAGGAGGATCCCCATGTCTGACATAGCATGTGCCTTGAGGTGAGGAGGGTGAGCAGCAGCGTAGGGGAGCAGGGGCTGCATCTCGGAGCAGCAGTGACATCTCATCACTTGTGACTCTAATTGAATGTAATTGCCTCTTCCAAATCTTGCTAAACCCTGTTCAAAGTCCCCTGAAATCAGGGACCATCGATAACGTTGCTCCTTGGGGCTTTCCGCTGGCGTCATCCCCAAGAAGCACCATTAATATTTCACAAGCTAATCGTATCTCATAGGCAGGTTGTCAGCCACGAATCTGTCATCTCTCATCAATAATGAACCAACCTGAGAAGCTCTTTCCCCCTCCAGTCTCCTGCATTATTCACTGCCAGGTTCTCCAACAACGGGGTGTGTGGTAGGGGGGAGCCAGGGATTTAACTGATGTCTGTCATAATTACCTGTAGGATGGTGGATGGGGATGGAGAGTGAGGGTGGTTGGTGGCGGGTGAAGATGGAGAGATGGCAGGAGGTGAAGCAGGGCCCTGCACAGTGCGGACGGTTTTCTTTGGTTCACTGCTTGACGGGATGGCATGTCTTTGTGTCCATCACCTTGGAGGGGCTCTGGGAAAGCAGGCAGCATCACTGTGCAAAATGAGAGGCTCCCGTGTCCCCTCCCTCATTACTTTGGCTGTGCTGGCGCTGAGAAGGTCCCAGACTATAGCCTGATGCATCACCATGCTGGCATCCCTGGGGAAAAAGCTAAGCATCCCACATGCCCATGGAGGGGTGGATTTGTGATGCAAGACGACAGAGCCCACCGATCCCCTCCCAGCTGGTGGTTGTGAAGGTGATGTTGCTCCCAAGATATCACCAAGTAGAGCTGGATGATGGTGGTACTGCCATTGTAATGCTTCTCATTTCCACGGTTCCAGGCTAAAGCCACCACATTTGCATTTAAATGGAGGTCTGGGTGTCTGTAAATCCTCATTTTTTGAAGCGAGAAGGACTAGTGGTTGTTTAATCACGTTGGGATGAAGCTCACGGAATATCTCCAATGCAGTGAGGAGGGTTAGAAGCATCCGTGCTATGGTGGGGGCTCTCCTGTCTGCTCAGTAGTGTGGGGGGGAACAGCAGCATGCAGATTTCTCTAAAAACATGCAGAATTCCCTAAAAAATGAAGGTTCCCCTAAAAAACGAAGGTTCCCTTCTCGTGCAGGGAGGTGCAATGGGCTGGAGCAGTGAAAGCGGTCAGAGAGGGAGCAGACATTTGGGCAGCTCATCCAAAGGGATCCGGATGCTTGAATGCTGTTGCTTCAGGATGAAAGTAGAGCCACTGAACGTCCTACATCCCAGCCAGCTCCAATCTGTCCCTGTATTGTTTCCAACCCAAATTGTAAACCCATGTGCTTTTGTGTATGGGAAGAAACGTGTCTGTTCTGCTCCTTTGAGGCTGGGAAATCGCTCGCAGCGAGCTTGGCAGCAGAGCATGGTAAGGACTGAATCTGCTTAATAATAATTAATCATAATAGTAATAATAATGCTTAGCACTCGTACAGGGCTTTGCAAAGATGAAGCACCACATGGCTGCTGACTAATCCTATAGGATTAAGAGTTCCCAGAGGAAAAGACAAGGGAGCACCCTGTCCTCAGGTTCCTCCTAGTCTCCATCCACTCCCCAGGGATCCTGGCCTGGGGCTGGATGCTCTCGGGGCATCGTGGGGATGGAAAACTGGACAGGATTGGGGCAAAACCGCTTGGTTTTTGCAAAGAGCCATCCTGCAGCAGGATGAATGCTTACTGGGATGTGCCTGGTGACACCGGGTACCATAAGGATTGCCAGGATCTGGCCGTACGGGACTGTAATCTGTTTCCATGGTGATAATTAGCCAAGAGCGATGGGGAGGGGGTAACAGACCAAACGTGGATGCTTTAAACTCAGCTGGTGCTGGCGCTGCCCGATGGGACACATGCTGCCCACTCATGTGTGAGTGCTGACATTTTGGGTTGGGAGCTGCCTGTCACTAGAGATTGACTGTCCAGCCTGGGACAAGTGATGTTGCATGATGTCTGTCTTCCAGCAAAGCTCTGACCTGACCAAGGTCTGAATAAGGCTGGTGAGCCAAGCTTTTGGGCTCCCAGCACCACCATCTTTGTGTGTGTGGGCTGAGTGGGGCTCATCTCCAACATAGAATCATTTTAGTTGAAAACACCTTCAAAGCTCATCCAGTCCAACGCCCTGCAGGGACGTCTTCAACTCAATCAGGTTGCCCAGAACCACATCCAGCCTGGCCTGGAATGTCTCCACGGA